TGAAATTTGTACACTACAAGGCTGGTTTTTTACATAATTTCATCCCTGGTATGATTAGAGTTGACATTGAAGCCGATGCCCCACTACATTCCCCGTCCCATACCGGAATAAAACAGCTGAATGTTTGTGTGGTATAACGGCACAGTACATGGCAAGCAGCCTTGGTTAGGGCTGTTCAGAAAGCTGGGTGAAAAGCTGGGGAAGGAGAAGAAGGAACCCATCACAGAAGCTCATACTGGCGGAGATGCGTCCGCTGGACTAACCAAAACAAGGAACTAAATGATAATGTCAAAAAGCTAGGGGGTAAAGGGAAGAGACGGCTGAAATTCAGAGTAATCTTTCCAATCTTTTCCAAATGTTAGTGGATAGTTCAATTATAAAATTACATTTCAAAGAGCAGATGCAACAAAAACAATACACCAATGTGCTTTTCGATGATATGTTAAGTAAAGAGTTTCGCGACAAACTTAAAAATTTTATTCCACGCGAGCATCGATCATTTTTATAACAGACATGCAAAAGCACAAATAAAATACATCAAAATCCACCAATCTTGTCTCAAAAACATGAGATTGCTAACCCTCTGAACGAAGTTCTCTTGGACAAATATACGAGCATAATTTCACGTCAAATGGAGGCTGTTGTGTTTATTATTCTTCGCTGATATTTTTCAACGCGCGGGAAAAATGTTTGCAAACAGCTTACCATCTACGGCGAGGATGTTCACTTTTCAGTGTTCTCTAATACAATTTTATGGACAAAAAAGAAAACACGTTCCCTCTTCCGTGACAACCGACACAACGCTTTAACTCATCTTGAATTAAAAAACTCATAACGTACTGTTTACGTACTGGGCGTCAGTTTCGAAAATTGGAGGATATCACTTAGGTTATAGCCTCGACTATCCCCCAGTGCAGTTTTAGTCAGGGGATGTTAAGTCACGTTATGCGTGCGAATTGATGTTAATTATATATAACGGGACATTTGGTGACAAGTTACATGATTTCTTTTCTATCGAACGGGTCTTGGGAAAATTCCCAGGTCTTCCTCTCTTCTCATTGTGATCAAACCATTACAGTGAAGGTGAAATAGTCGTTCCTGTGTCCTCGGCTCGAAATGGAAGAACCCAGTGTTAAGTATATTCTTCTACGTGATCGCATAGTCGAACGCATAGTTGATAAAATGTGCTTTTCGCTCGGCCTCAAGAAGTTTGAACCAATGAAAGTTTTGCGAGGCGAGTTATTAGAAGGTGTTCCGGAGGCTGAACAGCCTACAGACTTACCTAAAGTGGCTGTTGTTGGAATTGAACGTAAATCATTACGTCTTGAATGTCGTATGGAGGATATGACTCGACTATCTGAAGAAGAAGCCAACTTTCTTTTGGCGATTTCTTCACTTGAAGAAAGATACCAAACGTCAATAGTTAAGAAACGTCTGGCATTTGGAAGACAATTGTTTCCCGGATGTGCAGTTTTCGTTAAAGTGGAAAGAATATCAAAGGTTTTACCTGGTGTTGTCTGGTACAAAGGGGAATTACCGCCCAATCTGGGAACTTGGTTTGGAGTTGAGATTCTTGTAAGTACTTGTTAATTAAGTTATTTATGACCGTAATGATTTGTCGAGGGTGAATTTAGTGTGTATTTAAGTGTGGGAGATGGTTGAACAGGAAACCGTTCTTGTTCTTTTTAGCTGTGTAACCCTTTAGTGTTGTTTCTATGGACCGTCTACTCAACCACGGAGTACCCGTTTAAATACTAGTGGGTTTCCCTTAAACTCTCTACACAATCTAAACCACATTACATGACTACAAGCAATGTTGGGGACAAAGTCAGCCTTTATTATTACAAGGTTACAAATTCACTGATATTTTCACAAATATAAAACTCTTATATGACAAGTACAAGCTATAAATCAAATAATACACAAACATTTTATTAAACAGAGAGGTTGTGTGAGGGGGAGGGGGAGGGGGAGAAAAATTGGCTTCCAAGTGTGCAAGTGAGGTATGTTGTGGGCTAACAAGCTAAGCAATTGAGCAACTGAACCTAAAGTGTTAAGTGATCTCCTAGATGCCTAGCATGACAGTTTTTTTATATGCAAAATGAAGACCAATTAAAATGAAGGACAACTTTATGCACAACTACTGCACAAGTAAAGACAATAGTCTGCTGATGTTGAATTACTTTTACCAGGCCATCTGATAGAGTGCAATAAGAAATCAGAAATTGTGCGATATTTTCAGGATAGATTGTGCGATAAGAAGGGACTATCTTGCGGTAAATTATTCAAATTATGCAATTTTTTCCCTCCACTATTTAAAGCTTGTTTTACTAGGGTTCTGAAAAAGAAAACCACTCTTGTGCTGTTCTAACGAAGATTTATTCATAAAGGAACCAAAAATAAGCAATTAGGAGTGAATTGGGATAAAAATTCAATTATGACATAATTGTATACCAAACCTAGGAATTATGTACCAGATTGGCTCAAAGTTGGTAAATTTGTTGTTTCTATTGCATTATTTGCTGTTCACATCACTGAAGCTTTTTCATTGTAGATGCCCCCATTCAATAGATATTAAGTGGCCCTATTCGCTTACTATCTTGGTCTTAGTATTAAATAATTATTTGCAAACAGAGAAGTGGCCAGTGAATGTATTATTATTATTATTATTATTATTATTATTATTATTACTATAATTATTATTAAGAATCCAGAGTCTCATTTTTGAAAAGATCAACAAAATACATAGGATGCACGATCGTCGCAGTGGAGAGCGCTATTTATACAATAGCAAAAATCAGACCTGAAAAAAATCAGGCCTGTACGGGATTCGAACCACTGACCCCTGCAATACTAGTGCAGCGCTCTGCGACGATCATGCAGCATACGTATCTATAACCGCAGTTCAAAATATATGAACTTCATATATTCATCGTATCTGATCAACAAAATAATCAATTTTTGTATTTTCAGTTGTTAAACATACAATTACTATTATGATCATAGCTATTATGTATAAAATATTATTCACATTAATTGACAGAAACTTGAGCCCTATTATTTGAAAAAATCAAAAAGGGGCATCTTGAATCGCATTAACTCAGGTCAGAAGGCGTACTGTGCTGGACTGTTAAATTAACAGTTCAAAATGACAAAAACAACTTGAACAAAACCGAGTATGAATATAATTGAGTAAACATATCTAATGATTGCAAATATATGTGCAGTGCATAATGCTTTCCTTACAATCATCAACTCTTGCTTTTTTTAGTAACAGTGATGAGAAACATACACCTTAGTTGCATTGTACGCATGCTTCTTTGACTTTAGCTTGATATTAGAATCATGCCAAATCTATCTACCTTTCACTTTTATAAAAAAAAACTTATAATAATGTATATCAGACCTAATATAGCCCTATTTAGTATAATTTCAGAGCTGAGCAAAGAGTTTCCAGCAATCTGATTGTTCGAGTGGTTCCCTATATACGCTATATAAACCGCTCCACGCGGATTATATAAAATTTTAAAATAAAATGTTAATATTTGTTACTAAAATGTCATGATTTTAGAAATTTCTCTGTTGTTCAGCTCTGAAATTATACTAAAACAGTTATTCACCTCAGGTTCGGTGAATATTTTCAAATAATCCCCTTGACTACGTCTAAGGGATTATTCAACGATATTCACCTCACCTTAGGCGAATAATTGTTAAGTACAAGCTAGCTGTAAGTTTCTGAATTACAATAGTCCAATTGTCCCATAGACTAAAAATGATCAGAACAGTTGAAACTAATCTCCACAGTGTGACTGAAGCTTGCCTTTCCGTAAAGGACAACTCAAACCTAATGTAAACCAACTCTGTAAGGAGCAAAAACTTGGAAACCACTAAACCTTGCAATGCTGTTGCACCAGTCAAATTATATAGGTCGATAAACTTTTCCCCATAACATACATTTACTTTAAATGGGTGTTTTCTGTACTCTCCATTAGAAAATGTGGTTTATCTTACGTTTATTACTCACAGACATACTTCACTCATTTTCAACAAACAGCTGGTGATGAAGCCTATATAATGCACCTTTAAATTGTCAACTAGAACAGGTGGCTATCAAGGTTTCTATTGGTTATCAAAGTCGACAGAAACCATTAGGAACAAGGCATGATTAATAGCACTATAAATTCTTGGAAATAAATGGATTTTCTTAGGTGATCGATTACTATGTTACATGATGAACAAAACATCAGTCCATCATCCACATGGAATGTACAAGTGGCGTATTTTTCTGCTCTTGTCTTTGGCAGTCAAATTTGAAGGAAGATTCAATTTGGTTTTCCTAGTACTTGAACACGAAGGAACAGTGGGCGTTTTCACTATAAACTTGTCCATGAGGACATCAGTGATGTAAGCAAAAGAACTTAAATAGTTAGATTCTTCTGTGATATAAATTTTGCTAATTTAATTGATTATCACGTACTTACAATGCGAGTATAGAAGGACCATATGTCATGGATTTATGTCAGCAATTCTGATAGGATAATGCAAAGAAAAAAATTGTTTGAGTTGAGCCAAAGGGCAATTCTTTGAGAATGAAAAACTAGCATTAGGCCTTGGACCAGCCAAAAATGAATGAGCCTCGATTGTTTGTGAAGTCAATCGTTTCAGAATGTCTCTTGGGCTTTTTAGAAGGTAAATCATCTTGAACTAAGTGCAGATGCAAAATTTTTTCCAATAAGGCATTTATTTATGGTTTGTTTTCTAAGAATTGTGCGATTTTTTCTGAATTACGCGATTTCTTGTGGATTGTGTGAGCGCACCATCGCGTAATATCAGATGCTGATGATAAATTACTTTTACTAAGTAAACAGACTTGATCACAGGTGTGATGTAAGACTGTCTCTGTACCAATTTCCAATATTTGTAATTTGGAAGTACATCACCCCACAATTGGTAATTTTTCCTGTTGTTGTTCATGAAATGTGTGGAGATTTAAGGTATATCCATGGCCACAGTCACTGCAGGTAAGATATGCTGTTTGGCCTTATTCATATTGCTATTTCTGTTGAGGTTTACAATCATGATAGCATCTCATCATTAGACATACCCTTCCTACAACTTCCTGACTTTTTAATTACTCCCTGGATTTTTCTTACTTCCTCTGACCTCCTTCCTCTAGACATTACCCTGGGTTCAGCTGGTCTTGTGTCCATGCATACTGATCACAGTGGCATGAGGGGTGGGTTTTAAAAACTGAATTTTGTCATCAGGACAATTCTGTTTTTTTCAATAGAGGTGTGAGAATGGTTAGTCACCTGTGTTAACTTCATAAGTGAAAAAATAACTCAAGAAAGCCAAATTGAGGTTGCATATATGAGATTTTGTTTTTTCCTTAGAGTTTTTTTCTTGCTCAAATCGTTTGAAAGTACTCAGAGCATAGTTTATTTCAAGTAATAACGAGCCAGTTATTTAAAACTTAAGCCATGAGAAATTGGCTTATTTCTTAGTTCTAGGATGAGATTTTTTGCTAGAATTAATCTCAAAATAGCACGTCTCATTAAGAAGGAAAAACAGTTGAAAATATAAGGATTAAATATCAACACATGATTTTGCACCACAATGTTTGGTGAGGGTAGCAGAGAGGGTCCTGATCCTGTTCACACACAAATTTTGAAAAGAAAACTTCATTGTCTATTCTTGTGCTTTAGGTTTCTGGGAAATTTTGAGGTTTTCCAGAAATGAAAAAAAAAAAATTCACAGGTTACGAACATTCCTGGAAGCAATTCAATTGTCTTACAATGGTTCATAAATTCATAAATCTTGCTTGCCTTTCTGTAAAATTCAAGCATCACATATAGCCTTGATTTTTAGCCTTAATTACATGTCATGTATCAACCCCTTGCCATCCTCTTTGCATGGTTTCATCCACTTTGAGAGCCAAAGCTTCAAAATCCTCGTGATAGGAAACTCCAAGAACTTCATTCAAATTAAGGCCAAATTAGCCCTATGGTCTTGTTCAAATACAGCACAACTTGTATAAATACTCAGTGATACCACTCTCCAAAATGTCTAGTTAGATATATTTATCTGTGGCTCCTGTTTACACATGAGATTATGTATGCTAGCATCTTTAAGCCATTTGATTGACTTGTGTGAGCTAGCTGGTGAGGTGTTTTCATTTGAACTGTTTTGGTATCATGCACTCATTTTAAATGTTAATCTGTTTGAATGCTATGTGGCATTGGTTGGCTGAAAATTTGAATCTGTGGGAATTAACAGACAAGCAAGTCAAATGTCTGGCAAAGCACTAGGGTTTCCATTTGAATATCTTGTTTTCCACCTGGAAACATTTGCTCCAACTGTCGAAAACGACTTTTTCAGATCAACATTGCACTGCTAAGTCTCTTATTTAAGGGATGATATTATGGTTTTGGTTTTTGTTCTGTTTTCTGTTGCAATTAATATATTCTACTTTATAATTAACAGTTATTCGCAAAAGTGGACTCTGAGGTAACTCTGAGTGATGGATATCTAACTTGCTGTTTGGAGGCACAGTAAATCTTCTAGTTCAGCAATGAGTGTCTGCAAACTTCGAAAGGTTCAAAACACACTGATACCAGATTTCACTCCTAAGTATTTATTTTGATCTTATATTCTATACTAAAAGTTTATATCTATTTTAAAAGAAACTGAAAACAACCATGACATTTAGAAATCATGACAAGACAAAATTATATTTCCTGGTTTCTGACCATTCACTCGTGCAGATTAAAACACAAATTCGTGCAATAAAGCTTTTTTAACTATGACTAGAGGTTGAAGAAACATAGCTTGGATTCTTAACTTCTGAAGCTTAGAATCCTCATGGTATGCATGAAAAGACAAATCCAAATTTTATGCAACATTGGGGCAGTTACAGACACAACAAAAGTGAGCTACTCTCCACACTTCGCAGTTAATTTGCTACGGCCGCAATTGTTATAAACCCATTTCAGACCACAGGACCAACCTATGACGTATGAAGCTGTTCATTGAGTGAAGATTGTATTAATTGAGCGATTATGTTTTCTTGACGATGGCCTGACATAGACTGTGCTAAGCAATTTGTGCTCTAATTTACTTGAATAGTGGTAATAATGATGGTGATAATTATGCGAAGGTAGTCGAAATGACGATGATAGGAATTGTACTGATGATGATCATCAATTAATTAACAATTATTCCACGAGCGCGCGTTAGATATGAGATGATAGATAGCCAACGAGGCGCGTAGCGCCGAGTTGGCTATAATCATCTCATATCCAACATGCGCGAGTGGAATAATTGTTGTATTAAAAACGTTAAATTAAGTTATTAAATTTTATTAAATTTTTAGCTCCCTTTTAATTTTAAGCTGACACTTACGCTTACCATATTATTTTGTAGATTATGGTATATTGGCTGATATACCATAATGGCTAAGCCGATAAAAAGTCTTGAATTGCATTATCCAGTGACCCAGTTTTCAAAAATGATTGTTATGTGTTTTTACATATGTAGAACAATCCAGGGTTAGGAGATTGTGATGGAACATTTAGAAACAAGCGTTATTTTAACTGTGCACCAGACTCTGGTGTTTTTGTTGGACTGGACAAATTGACACCACGAGAAGATGAGCAAGAGATAAAATCCCAAGAACATGTGAAGAAAGATGAAACTACCCAAGCTAAACAAAAAGCACGTCTTAAGGATTCAATATTGTCATTTTGGAAAGGAAAACGTGAGCAAAGGTCATTGATAGGAATTAATGGAGTGCTTAGGATTGATGAAAGAGTTGTGACATTTATTAAGGACAGTCCAGCCAGAGGAACTGTACGATATATTGGTAAAGAGACGGACTCAAGTGGAAATTTCTGCATAATTGTAGGACTAGAACTGGCAAGTTCGCTAACATCTCTCTTTAACCAATTGTGACTGAGCTTTGTGTTCAATGCAGTGTTATCCAACTTTCGGAGGGGAGGAACTGAATGAAGGACCAGGCCAGCCACTAAGGCTCTCCTCATGAAATGTTTTGTTTTCCCGTTGCTATCCCGCACGTGAAGTGGGTCAATCGTATGAGCAAAGAGGAAATAAAAGAAAAGAAAAGAAATGACTGATCAGTATAGCATAAGTTCAGGAAAAGACTGGATGTGCGTATGTTTTTCAAAATATTAAATACAAAAAACATCTTGAACTTATGAATTTCCTTCGCCGTTGTGACATCAAACATTTGGTGATTTTGCTAGCGTGACATCCGAATTACGCAAATTAGTCGTGGAAACTCCAACCGTTTTA